ACTGTTACAGAGCCGAAAGCATGTTAAATTGGCAACACAGCCAACTATGATTGTTATAATCAGTTCTGATTTTTACGAAAGAAAAGTTTAGTGGTACTCTCTTATTGCCATTTTGCCAACATCTACTATATGCCAGGCATTACTTCTGTAGAAATGATAGCGTAACATAATTTGATCATGGACCTTAGAGTAAACGGGTTATTCAGATTATATATCGTATCAAGAATAATTTTGAAGGTGTACCTTGAATGCAAACGTTTAAGCTTTCAAATGGGCATCAGAATATGATAAAATCGACGTGCTTCGCTCCTTACTATGCTTGTCTGTAGCCTGGTGTTTTATTTTTAGGAACTAGGTCTCCACATAAATTGAACGGCTGTGAAGGAAATTCTACTAGTCTGATGAATATCAAGTTAATAAGCCCTCAGGTGAATTGAGGGGTTAAACCTGGACCGTTTGTGAAGATGAGTTCTAAGAATTCGCAAACGTCTCTAATTCCTCTTCTCTAGGGAAGTCAACGTACAACTAATAACTATTCCAGAAGTAAACGATGTATAATATTATTTACCTTTTTTGCTAACAATGTCATAGATATCTGAATTTTCGTTTTGAAATTACGAAATTGTTTTGTTTTTTATTTCTGGGCATTCAAATTTTTAAAGGATGCATTTCCCCGAGGTTTCCCCAGAAAGTCACTACTAATTATAATTGCCTTCACAAAACTATAGTTCGTGAAACAATCAACATTCTAAAATTTTCGTTAAGGGTGAATCTACTTTATAAGTTAAGGGTGAATCTACGAAAACTAGTTTTATGCTCCTCAGTCGAAAAGTAACGATTACCGAAAAAGTGGGTTTCCCCATGTGTCAGTCCGTCCGTTCGTGAATACTAGCGCGTAAACTGTACAGAGGATATTCATCAAACTAGACATTTCTCGATCGCTATGGCTAAGGAGGCGGCCCTCGAATTTACAATGTATATTTTCATTTTTGGTGCTAATTTACATAACGTCCTTGCGACATTTTTCTCAAACTTGGCTCCAAAAGTTTTCTTGCATTTTTGGATAGAATAAATATCGAAAGAGTAAAGTATGTGTATAAAATTGCACAAGTCCTATTTTCATTAACATTTCTGAATTTTCGAAAACTGCGAAAGTTTAACTTTTTTCGGTGTCTTCTACAACTACGCGATTGAATGTTCTTTTCTTACTGAAATCCGTTCTCCAACATTAGATCTTTAAATGTCATGTGCAAATTTTTGAACATATTTTGAATAAGTTTTTTACTGAAAAATTGACAATTAAAAGCAAGTAAAGAAGATTATACGAAAAAGAAGGAAAGAAAAACAGGGGGGGACCTGCTCGATTTTTCTTTAATAGAGTACAGTAATGAACCCGAGAAGTGCAAATAAAATTAAGTTTGGTTGAAAATAACTATTGTGACTAATATTATTTAGCCTGGGACATTCGTAAATCCAAGCAATCACATTTGCACTATAAGGTTTGGATCTCTTTTCTGTTTCCGGAGAAAATCCAATTTATTTTCGATCTACTTGATTAATCAAAGCTGCCGATGCAACAGCGCTTATGAATGTTATGTTGTACCATCTGAAATCAGCGCTGTAGAATACTTTGTATTTGAAACAGCCACTCTTGTCTTGCGAGCGTTTGAAATGCAGAATATTTTCATTACGATCGAATTGAGGGTTCAGTCTTACGTTTACAGTAATTGATGTCAGTGAGTTCAACAATTTAAAAACTACAATTATTAAGTATGCCAAAATCCTTATCTTTCAGCGGCCTAACGGTTCTGACGACCTTACCGTGCTATTCAAATTTAAAATATTCATACCTAAAAGCGATAGTTAAGTCGGAATTAACAAATCATGACTTGTTATAAATCAAAACACCGAAGATTAATATGAACAATACATGGTATATATCTGTTATTCTGTCGACACAAGACATGCACGTACGATGAGGCTAGGGTCCTCTTGATATACCTTTTGGGACTACTGTAGAATTGCTTATTCAAAGGATTATAAAGTCAATGTTTTAAAAGTAAAATGGGCATGAAAGGCAAATGTACAAGAATAATCGTAATGTTTTTTTTCTCCTCGTAAACCTATAAAGCTTCACTGAATTCACAAATTCGTCCTGAGAATGAGAAAGAATTATAATGATCATACTGCCAGCACACCGTGTCCATGAAACGTCTGCATCGCAACCTTCGACGTGCCATCAGCCGGACAGCCGCGATCACTCGCAAGACTCGAGCCGCGGAAGCCGACGACACCACTACTTCCTTCTCCGCTTGAAATAATTCAGTTACGATTTCAAGTGTAGAACGTAGGATTCAAGAGGCTGCGACGTTGAAACGTCAAGACAAGGAGTACAATTTGTGAGAAAAGTGGGGAATGAAAAATGTGGTTTATCTAAGTCTGGCGGAAATAGCGAGAATATTGCGCAATTCTGCTGTAAATATTGAGCAAGTGAAAGAGAAGAAAATGCAACTGATAATTATTATTTTAGAAAAAAAGGTGCAATATTTATTTGGAAATAATTAGTGACTTTCTTCTGATCCATAGTTTCGAAGAATATGTATAAAATGTATTTATTAAATTTCCATTCGCATTCAGTTCACTTATGTACAGTAAATATAGATCTAACAAAGTAAATATTAGCCTGAAAGGTTCTTTATGTTCATTGCTTTCGAAGTTGTGAAACGAATTGCACACATGTCACGTCACCTATTCCTTCGCCAAGAGGCGAAGCTGTCAGATCCATTGCTCTGATCTGTGAATCCGTCCGCTAAGAGCGAACTAGTGGAACGTCTTGGAGCACTGTTATAGAAGCATTCTTCTGGCGTCCTTGGACAATAACACCCGCCAACATTTAAATAATGAATTGATTAAGCGAGCAATGTTTATATATTTTCCAGGCACCGATACCCAGTAACTGAACAATCTGATGAAGTTATAAAATTTACGAAGCAATGCGTCAGTTTCGTAAGACAATCGACGTGTATATATTAAACGTGAGCATTTATATTCCCAAAATGTTATGTTTTATATAATAAAATAAATAATTATATCATCACTATCCATAATTTAACTGATTTACGATCTTACGGAAGCCACGAAGTATTATGGTAACGGAGCAGCAGTACCAACGGAATTACAGAACGTATGTCAGATTGACGAATCTGTTGTCAATTTGACAATAAAAAATATGATTAAACTGTTTTAAAAATAGTTTTTTCAGGCTATAAGGTAAAAAAAAAAATTAAAAAAATCACCTTTTGTGTCTTACAGGGTCTTGCGGCGCGTTATTATCGCGGTAACTAACAGAAGTTTCAAGTCTCGTAATTGTATTGTAGATGCAGGAACGAAAGTGAGACATACAGAACACGCTCATGAACTGCCTGGACCTTGCTGTGCATTGCTGCCGCAGAAACGGAAGTCATTAAAAAAACACCCAGAAACCCACTCGCGCATGCTTGTTTGCTCGATGGCACGTACGTACCACTGCAGTAGCACCGCCGTCGTCTTCTTTGACAATTTCCCTCTGATGTGGTCTCTGCCTTCCGCTCCTCCGCCGCTGTCGCGGACTCCCGACAGCCGCGCCGACCGCCCTCCGTCCAACTCGCGCTACTCAGAAGCTACTATCGCAGACGTACCGGCCCGAGAACTGGCGGGCTTGAAAGGGCCTCTTAAGCATAAGAAGAGCATCGGACGAGGAGTACGCGCATGCGCAAGGAATTGCCCGGCGCTGCGCAGCTTTTGGCGGGACGGTTAGAATAGATAAGACATTAGCGACGGCCCGTGAACCTTCTTGAATTGCGTATCTTAACTACGAAAGTTACTTTTTTCAAGCTCGTGTCTCGTTATGCCCGTTTTCGATTCGTGCTTATGGTTCGTGCAAATGCTTTGATCGTTAGATTTCAAGATTTATTGGCGGGTTTCGATTAACCTTTGAATTTTATTATTTGGGACAAAGTGAAAGTATCTAAACACACCAAAAACTACTGACTCAATCAACTCCTCAGGTACGACCAAAATGAAAACAATTTGGTAAAATTTTAAATTTTCTCAATTGTTATTGTTAATATAGGAATTGAGTAGCTGATTGATATATGTCTAATTTCATTGTTAACAGCCCAGTCAAGTTAGGTTTGTGCTCAGAGTATTATCGTTTATACTTTTAAACTTAGCATATGTAAAATGGAGAAAATCACATTTTGCTTCTTTAGATTATACTACTTTTATGTACCATTTGCTGATTAGTTGGTTATTTCTTGTCACTGTTACATGGATAGCAAGACAATACATTGTGCAGGAGTAATACGTAATTTACATAATATTTAAAAAAAATAAAATGACAAATAATTTCAAGTAAAGAGGTTGCTCATATACTTAACGTATTTATATGTTGCTAAAACTTCAGATAGTGGGTTAAAACAAACACTTTACCCATTGATTGTGAAGGAGGAAAAAAATGAAATAAGTAGTGTTAACAATGCGAATTTTGTAAAATTATTTCCATTATGATCAAAATTAGAAAATCCAATTTTCCTGCAAAATCCCATCAGTATTTTGAGAAGGGGGAGTGTCTTATTTGGCTTATAATCACAATTGCAATTTAAGAAATGGTGTGTAAATGTGAGAATAAACTGTTTTTTTCTTTGCTAACATTATTGTTTATTATATTACTAATACAGCAGTATTTATATAATAAACAATGTTGACAAAGGCAACACCTTGCATTCTCGTATTAGGAATGTCAACTATACCTTGCCAATAAATCAGTATCAATCAGTATAATTAGTTGTGAATAAAAACTTTTTTTAACCAAGATGTTTTTCTCTCAGTATTTGTACAACAGGATGGTGATTGAGAACACTAGATGTTGTAAACGCCTTAATCATTTAAAGTTAGTATCCTATTTTGTACACAACATTACACAGTTGGCGTATGTAATCTTGAATTTTCTTCTATTCTAGCCCTTCATGGGACCCCGTTATCCTGCTGGTCCTCGACCTGGTGTTCGGATGCCACAGATCGGGAACGAATTCAATGGGGTAAGTTACAATTAAGTTGCCTGAAATATGCTCTTGTCAGTGTACATCATAAATTTTTGGTGTGTTTTTTAAAATAAGTTTGGGGTAAATTCTTTGTAGTTGCTGTCAATTACAAAAAGAGTTCAAATTACCCCAAGCGGTCATTCATTAACTTTGCAACCATACCCTGCCATCCAGTTTTTTTGTATTTGGGATATTAATTAATTGAGTTTAAAATGGTTAAAAAAGGTTTGGAAATTTTCATATCAGTGATATGAAAACTGATAATCTATTACAGCAAAAAAAATTCATATCAGTAACACCTGATATAAGTTGGCAACATTGATATAGAGGGGGGGAAAAGAAAAAAAAAAAAGAAACTTATAACTTCTACCAAAAAAATGTATAAAATTTTAAATTACATTGAATACACATGTCAAATCAATGTTGTCATGAAAACTTTAAATAACAAAACCTGCTCCCTTTATATGATATAAATTTATAATCAACACTTTGGGAGATTGAACTCTATTTGAGAATATTAGATTAGATTTTTCCTTCCTTTTTGGTTGGGAAAAGAAAAGTAAAGGAAAACAGGAGAATTTCAGATTTGCTTAACTCCCTTCTCGGCTCCTGAGTGTGTTTTTCACGTTCTTGGCAACTCTTCCCAGATGGGAATCTCATTGTGCTCCCTGAACATCATGTCAAAGTAGCTCTTAGGCCCATCTCCGTCATCTTCTTTTCATGAATATGGGCCTGTCTTGACTATTATTGAGGGTGTAGGGGCCAGTTCTTTATTCACACACACACACACACACACACACACAGACTTGTCACACAGTTACTGATCAGGGCAAGGGCTTAGGGTAGGATTAGGGTGTTCATAGCTGGTACACGAGATATTGGGAATGCACCCAAGTCACAAACACAACTGAGGGTTCAGGCAGGGTGGCTGACCAAAATGTAAATAGGTACTTGCACGCAAACTCCTCCACCATCCAGGCTGGCCAGGAATGGCAGGATATGATAAGAAGGGTGGGAAAGCCAATTGTGTCACTACACGAGGTTGAAATTGCCAATTCCTATGTAGGACTTGAATTTGCAACCTCCCATACCTCACTATCTTCCTTAGCGACTGTGACCATTTGGGTTGGCCTGTTTGAGAATATATGTAATAGAGTGAGAACAACATTATGTTGTTTAAGGTTTTCTTGATGACATTGATCTGAATTGGAGAGACTGTGGACTGTAAAAGCTTCTCATTATACAACCACTCTTAATGCAGATCCTACTATACTAGGATTGTATTGAATGTATCATTGAGTAGGTCAGTCATGAAAGGTTTTTTTTATTTGCAGCCACCTGGTCAGCCCATGATTCCAAACAGCATGGATCCAACGAGACAAGGTAGGTGCTCAACGAGCTCGTCAATCTGTGGTGGACACTCTCCCCTGAAATTTATGCTAGCCATTCAGTTGAAATTTTATTTTTACTCTTCAAAGTTTAGTTTTATTTTTTGTGTTGTATTTTCTATTTATTTGGATTACTACACTGAAAGCTAGTTGTTGAATTCATTAGGAAGTGGATTAACAATATTTAGTTTATGTTAATTGTAATGTTAGGAGAGCCATTAAAGATTGAGTTGGTCAGTACATAAAATATTTGTGGGAAATAAGTTAATGAGCTTCATTTTTTATATATTTATAATTGTTTACTTGAAAGCGGTAACACTATTGTGTTTTAGTAAGAAAGAAATTAAATATTCTTGATCCTGAAAAAAATTGTGACTAATGCTAAAATACACATTCATTATGATGCATATAGTTTTATTACTAAATTTTCCAGAAAATTATTTAGGGTACTGAGAGCCGTGAGTTGGAATTTATTAGGATATTTCCTTTTAAGGAATACAGAATTAGACTTCTTGCCTCAGAAAAGTGTATATTGGTACTTTTGTGGTCATTAGTGTTTTATCGGTGAATATTTGTGTAACCTACTATTTGATCTTAAATTGTTACCCCAGTTCACTGACATTGCAATATTTAATTATTTTATTTTTATTCAAAATTGGTTTTAAATTTCAGTTTTACTATTGATATAGTCATGGAAGTAGGGTAATATAATGAAAATTAATATCACAGTATTTGAAGGAGGGCTTTTACATGTTATGGGAAACTAAACGGGGGTGCTGCATGTATCGTGTTTTTTCTGCTACATGTGTGGATGGGAACTCCGTTAACATTTGGGAATTTCTTTTCTTTTGTTTGCATGGAATAATTTGAAGGCAATATTTGTTCATAATGATCAATACAGCTTGTGGAGTTGCAGACTGATGAGCCGACATACTTTTCGTCTATTAGGTTTAAACATCATATTTGAATATCAATTGCTTCATATATTGAATGGGTATTAACATCACTGTGCATTCAACAAAATCTGTTTAAAATCTGATGAACTCCTGCATATGGTGTCATGGCTCAGGTTTCAAACTAGTCTTAGAAAGTGAATGGTAAAATTGAAAAAGTGGGCTTGTATTGTAATGTACTGTATTGTATTGTTCTGTAATGTACTGTATCGTATTGTACTGTATTGCTGTGCATCAATATGGACTTATTTACAATGATGGAAGTAGCTAGCAAAGGTGGCCCCCTTTTACGTTTTCCAAGTTCCGCCAAGGTGAGTTATCTTACTGATTGCCTCTTGTTTTTCTGTCTTCCCCAGGTGAAGGCGGAGAGTTTGTAGGTTGGCAAGGTAGGCAAGTCCAACATCATTCTACATCTCTCTCCTTGCCATGGGCTGGTGGTGCTGTCTATGCTTTCACTCTTCTTTTGCTTTTTATTCCCAACTCTTTTGCTAACCTCGGGTGTGTGCCATTGTGCATGTTTTTTGTCAGATGCTTTCTGTCGTATTTTGTGTGATCAAAACAAGGAAAGAACCTACAGGGAGTGGGTTTTACTACAGTTGAAAAAAGTTGACAAAGCTCTACCTACTTCTTTGATAAATGTCCTAGTAATCTAACTCTGATCTTTGAATTATTATATCCCGGAGAAAATTGGGATACCTTTGAGAGCTTTATTACCAGGAGTATACAGTTTTTATCTTCGGTACACAAAATTTCCTAATTAGCACCAAAGAATTCTTATATCTAATTTATGATCACTTTTACATAAGTGGCACAGTTGAAAGCAAACTTAAAGGCAGAGGGTTCTTCTGAGATGTTATGAGGGTTCATTATTTTATTTATATCTGATACTGATAATACCAAGTCAGATAGGTAGAAAGGTATACTTTAGTCCAACAAATGGGCACTTGATGAAGAATATGAGTCAATTCATTAAATAAAAAGAGGAGAATATATAAGAAACACTGGCAATGAAGCTTACTAATCCATTCATTTAAGATGATAATAAAGTAGGTAGCCTCACGTATTGAGTGTGCTTATTAATACTACACAAGTGTGCCTGCTTACCTATTTATCCACCCACCCCATTTCTTTATAACAACTCTTTCTCCAGTAACAAGACCATGGGCTTATGTTTGTAGATGTATTTTGAACTGTAGTAGCAATAACTCTACTATGCTTCCGTGAATTTCATTCGATCTATCTTAATGTGTTATGCATGCAATATCATTTCCACATTCCATTTTCAATATACCTTACAAAAGGGCCCAAAAAATAGTTTCTTTTTGTTTAAATTAAACACATTACAGTGTTATAACATATATCTTCTAAGATACCCGACTTAAATTTCATTACCTGTTGGAAATTGGAGTGCTTGTTTTGGAGATCTACTTAGGTACCTAATGTGAATTATTTAAAAATCAAAAAGCACCAGAAAATGACTGGTTTGTCAGTATTTTGAAGAAAATATTTACATTCTCGGACACTTCTATAATCTATTTTCAACGTAATTGTTGCAATTAGTATATTTTATTTTCTTCTTTTTTCTTAGAAAATATTTTAATCGATTTACATTTGAGATACTTAACTTTGTACTAAAACCATTATTAAAACACTGTGCACTCTTATTGGTTAGATTTTAATTGAATTGTGAATCTGTTTAAAAATTAGATAAGTTTTTGGAAAAAAATTGCACACCACTATGGTTTCTAATGAAATATTGAGTATTGGTGCCTTGAACTCTCTGATAAAAAGTATAATTTAAAATTAGTAACTTAATGATTTGGGAACTGAAAAACATCAGGAACTGGGCTCTGGAAGAATATCCATTACATCCTTACTCATTCCATCTTCATATCCAAATGATCCAAGCTCTTGGACCGGGTCTGTCGTGGTCACATGGCCAACCTGGAAGGTGCTTTTGCCCTGGAGGTACCAGGTCAGGGGAGGACCCTGACTAGGCACAGCTGCAGGGCCTGCTGCCGACAACCTTTTTGGTAACTGCAGAGTGGCATGCTTCGTGTGGTGTTTTGCGAGCCTTGCACCGTGCCAGCAGCGAGAATAAGGCCTGCCTGGAGCCCCATTGAGAACTTATTTTATTTTATTAATCTTTATTTGTTTTTCCCCTGCCCAAACAGTGGTCAACATCACTGTTTTAAAAATCATATCTTTCTTTAAATAGGTTAAAGAAATAAAAGGATTGTAAAGGGTACTTTTCAAGAATGACTGTGTGAAAAATAGTAGATGCTTGAATTTAAGGATTAATTAAATCTTGGTGGTTTGTAAAGTGAATACTTTTGTAAATACTCTTTCCCTTTTCCTTGAAATTATAGTTCCATTTTAAATGCAAGTTTGATTAATACTTCATGTTAAGAATAAACTTGTTTCGTTTTTAGTGTAAGTTTAAAATTTCATTGCTAGAGTTGTGAATTATAAATTAAATACAAGAATGTATTTCAAGATATCTATTACCATTATTGGGTGAATGAGTTCAAAGTCAATGGTCAGGGTCAGTATTAGGATTCTTGGTGGACTCCAGGACATGGCTCTTTAGTGCTGCCCCTGCTGTACTTAGGGTTGAACCAACCTCGTTCACCTTTGCTTCATATTCCCGAGCATGAAACAATTGTAGGTCTTTTTCTACCTTGGGTACAACCCTACAGTAAGCAATTCAATGAGATTTTTTTAAAATGTACAGTGTTTAGTATCCATTATTATATGTGTTTCAAGTTAAATTCTTTGATACAAATTTGATTCACAATCTTGCTAAAGACACTTTAATATTAAAAAAGAAATAAATTCTCTAAAAGAAAAAAAGAAAAAAAAGAGAGAGAAAATAATGACAAAAATATAGGCTAATATGAAGATCAAATTCATACATTATGACTGTTACAGGACCTCCAGGAATGAGCCCCATGAATCCCCGTATGAACCCACCTCGAGGTCCAGCAATGGGTCCCATGGGCCCGGGTTCATATGGACCAGGTATGAGGGGGCCACCACCTAATAGCACATTAGGTCCTGGTGGACCTGGAGGACCAGGAGGCCCTGGAGGCCCCGGTGGTCCTGGAATGCCTCCAATGTCCATGGCAGGCCCTGGAGGACGACCACAATGGCAGCCAAACACATCAACAGTAAGTATACCTCAGCACGAGGGGTGCACCTGTTGAAAAGGCTCACGCCAACAACTGTAGTTATTATCTGGGAAGTCCTAAGGTTTGAGCCCCAACAGTGGTGAATTTTCAGCACTAATGTTAATGGAATTAATGGAGACCTTGACTTTTCTTAAAATGACAAGTCAATTAAAACAAACTATTGAATCACTATTAACTTTTCACTTTGATGGGTGTGTTTAGTTTACTCATTCAATAATAAATAATTAAAGTTGGTTTGAATAGAAAATGAATTTAGTTTATTTAAGGTTCATATCTCTACCACGTGAATATGGCAAGCAAGAACCAATTGCCAATATTTATATTTGCACTTAGTAATACAGAACTAGATTTTGTTGTGGGCTAAAAATTGAAATGTGGTTTAAAAATTGATAAATTATGTGTCATTTATCTGAAGGAGCTCATCATAATGATCACTGCTTTTGACATATAATCAGAATGGAACTTTATTTGAAACAATTTGTTAAAATGACTCTAAATGGAAATCAGTATTTAGAGTTGGTTCCATGGTGTATCATTATATCAATGTGTTTTAAATTGCTACTTTTATAATTAATTAGTTTGGAGACTTTATTAATTACAATAATGATCATCAGCATGAACTGACCAGAAATTAGGCTTTACAACCTGTGTGATAAGACACCATAAGAGTCTAATTTTGAAAATGTTGAAAAGTAATCATGAAAAGTAAAAGAAAATTCTGTTGCTTTAAATCAGTGGTTTGAGTAATTCCCAATTTCTTATTGTCATTAAAATAAATAGAATTTTAAATAAAGAAATGCATTAAAAAATTATATCCTGAATTGTTATAAAATAGCCGAAGAAAAAATTTTTCAAAATAGAAATAAAATTTAATAATAAAATAAAATTAAAAACATCTTTGAGAACAAATTTATTGTGTATTTGATTAATGTAAAATCTGTTTACTGAAGCTATCTTCTTTCTTTCAGCCCATGAATTATTCTTCATCATCTCCAGGAAATTATGGTGTAAGTTGAATTTGTTGTTGTAAATTCATAATGCATGTTATCTCTACGAACAGTTGTATGTTAAAAATCAATTCCATTTTCGGAAAGCAATATTTTTATATTCTCTTGAATTTTAATGGGGTAGGAGGGGACAGAATACAGTGAAACCTTTCAAGAAGACTACCTCTTTAAGCAGACTACCAGTTTTCTATGGAACAGAATAATTATTCCACAAGACCGATGTATTTTAACCCCCCTAATAGATGATCACTTCCTGACCCATGACCACAAATTTTTGTCGTTATGTAACATTGGATTCTCTTCAAGACAATCATAAAACCTCCAACTGTAATAATAAACCAAAGAGTTCACATACTCTGTTAGCTAAGATGTTTCCTGTGTCTTTGTGATAAGCAACAATAATTGGATGCACGAGAACACAGAAGGTGAGACCTTGCAGGAAATGTAGAGAAACTATTGCGTTATAATGTTGAAAAATAATTATACAGAAACAAAATAATACCTCTGCATTACAATAACCAGGAGACTGCCTTACATCATAGTAAGTTAATGATGCAAAACAATAAACTTTCATTTAAAACCAGAATAGTGTTATGATGCATATATTGGAGTTGATGCTGCAGTGGCAGTACATTTTAATAGAACAATGTTCCTCTTAACAAGCCCACCCCCTCTAAAAGATTAATTTTAAAGTTTTAATCACTTGGTTGGCTTAACGAAGTTTCACTGTAGTTTAATTTGGTACGAAATTAATGTTTTTTTGGAAAATCAGACAATTACTCCTTTAACGTTCCTTACTAATTAGGATTTATTTTTGTAATAAATATTTAGTGCTTTAGGAACAATATTTTTTTAATTATAATAATCCCTTTTTAACACAAATTCCGTGGGATCAAAATAATCAATGTTCTTGTTCCAAAAATTTGAGTTTTGTGATTATTATGTATATCCATATTACAGTTTTCTTGGCAGTACCCAAATTTTGTTTGTTATGGCAAAATTCATGTTAGCAGTGAGTCTGTGCTATCAAGGGTGCACTGTATTTATTTTCATTTTTTTGCTTCCGACTTTACTCGCTATTAAATTTAACAATTTGAAAAAACATTTTGTACAGTAGTTTTTTCACTGAGTTTGTTTTACAGGGTCCACCTGGATCTACAGGCCCTCCAGGTCCTGGAACACCAATCATGCCTAGCCCACAAGGTGAGAAATGGCTCAAGTATATTATTCTCTTCAGCATTATCTTGAGGCTAACTGCATGAGCAGGCGTTGGGCTACTAGACTTAACCTGCCCCTTAGACATGCGCTGCCAGCTGCCCTAAGCTCTCCCTGTCCTTGACGTTCTAGTTATTTGTTTCAACGGGAGATTTGCCGGTGGCAGGCAGGTGCAGGTGATGGATATGGCAAAAGGGAATCAGAATAAAGGAGATGCATTCAGGTGTTTCAAAAATAAATAGAACTATCAACAACTGAAAGTGATTAGTCCTTCACTGCCTTATGCATTGGGCATTGCTATAATTTCATACTGAATGTACTGTAATAAGTAGGCTAAAACAACTTGTATCTTGCCTGTACACAGCATATAACAAAAACAGATTGTTAAATGTCAGCAAAAAAGATAATGTATAGCACACACTTGCAATTGTTTTAAATTATTTGTCAGAGAGTAAATCATTTAAAGTCCAAGCAAAATGTATTGGGCATATTATTGTTTTTTAGGTGTAATGAAAACATTGCACGATGTGGGACAGTTCTGGATTATTGTATTTATGTTAATTGAACAAAATTAAATATATTCCCCAAACATGCTTGTGATAGTACAAATATATTGCCTACTACATCCAGAAATGTCTTGCTGAAAAGCAATTGGTTTTTAACAAAAATATTTTAATTATTTTTCAAAGCAAACTAGCTTTTTAATTTAATTTCTTCATTGTAAATAAAAATCATATGTTTATTTTCAAAACTTACTAATATTCATTTATCCAACAAGGGATCAAGGGATAAAATTAGTTTAATCCATGAGGAAGAAATGTAAAGTCCTGTGCATGCTAGTCCTTCAGTAATTAAGTGGCAGGAATGAATGATAGCTTTATACTTTGTGTGAAACATTAAAAAAAACTGGAGCTTATCCTTGATTAGAGTTCTTGACTAATTCTTGTGTGAAGAATTTATCTTTTGAAGTTGTCCAACTGAAAAATAATATTTGAAAAACATATGAAAACTTGGTGAAATGATGCATATACACAGCCTACCAAAGAGACTATCCAAAAGAGATTGCTTAGTCAAAGGGTACAAGTGGCATTATGTTAAGCAAACCAGTTTTATTTACTTTAACTTTTAATTTCTGCTTTTGATACTGTTCTCTCCTTTTCCTACTTTTAGTGTCTCCCCCCTTTTCCCTCCATACACATGTCCTGTTCACAATACTGATATCTGTATGCATTAAAGTATGCATACATCCCTTGTAGCCTGCCTGTTTCAAGTTATTAACTTAATTGCAATCTTAAAAATTTGAATTCAAGATTGTATACATGCAACACTTCTAAAATCATGAATAGTATATAGGGTTTGAAGTTTTATTTATTAAATCAGAGCCCAATAAAAAAATCTGTTTTTCTTATAATAGCAGCTAATGCTTCACTGTCTTTCATGGACACAGCAGTTAAAACCTCAGAACTTTTCATGAATTAATTTGTAGATATTTTTATTTTATAACTCCCTTAGGGATTTTCTGGGTATATGGCATGATAGGTTTAGATTGTTCTGGCCTTACTCACAGAGGTTTCTTTACTTAGCTATGGAAGAAGGTTTCTCAATTCTTTAAGAACAATTTTTCTAAGCTCGCTTGTGAAACTTGTGCAAATGGTTTTCAGGGTCTGTGCACCATTAACTTTAATTTCATTATTTGATCTAAAATTATGGAAAGGTCTAGAAGTATCATTCATTTTTCAGGAATTAAGTGCATGCTTTCTGTTCTGGTTCAGTCTGGTTACGTAACGTGTTACTGAAAGTTATGTTGACATGTATATTGAATTTCTTGTTCTAAAACGGGAAACTGTATTGTGACATGTGTGGGATGATAAGTGGGATCTTGCAATATAAAGGTCCACACAAGTTGCATATCTATAAATTGAGGACAAAGCATACATAGTCCCTCAGAAATAAAGTCCTGTATTTATGATGTTCAATTATTGTTTAAAAATTGTTGTGATCCTTTATTCGCAACAAATGCAACTTCAGTTTTCCGAAAACAATAATTTCACATAATTTCATTTTCTTTCTAATATAATTTTTACCTCTGGGGGTATTTCAGAATTGTTTGCTTTTAATCACTAAACACAACAGGAGATAAAATAATTGAAGGTTTAATTTCATTTAAATAATTCCAGTGAAATTAAAAATGGAATTATCATTGCATTACTGTGAAAATGTGTTTGCTTTGCAATGAAGCTGAAAACCAAGCATTAGTAATGTAATTCTGAGTGTGGAAGTTCAGAATTAATGAATATTATTAATTCTATGATCATGCATTGTCTACATGTATTTAATGTAGTCCCTGCAACAATAATTGTCATTTGCTAAGATATACATTGAATGTGGAGAGTACGTATTGTTAGTACACAATTGTTCTCTACACCTACAAATGCTGAAATAAGATTGCAATGTGTTTAAAGGTAGGCCGGACGTAAATAACACCATAATTTCCATGAAAAAATACACGGGGCGATAGTTTTGAAAACGACCATTAAGTGTTGAAAGGAGAAACTTTAGCTTCGGGTAATAATAAAAATCATAAATTGTGTATTTCTTGCCTAATCAAAGAGAACAGGTGAAAAAACTATGCTGGGGTCAATTATTGGCTCGCCTCCTCCGTTGTGTATGTGACCATTCAACAATTCCTAATGAACATAAATTCTATTTTATTATTTTTCTCTCTTTGATTGATACAAGCCAAATCTAATTAACAATCCCTTTATTCTAATACATGTTCAAGTCTTATTAGTTGGGTACTTGCTGGGTATTGTAGGAAAATGGTAGATAACATTTTTGAATGCTGCGTTACGGGTAAATAAGCTAATATGTGTGAAAATTAATGATAAGACTTAAAAGTCTGAACATTTAGATTTCTTGAGAGTATCATCAGAGAGCAACATTAGAGAACTATGATAATACTATTGTCTTTATTGAGTTGTGAGGCTTAGACCATAAGACCTTCTGCCTGAACACCTAAATTTACATTGTTCTAATAACATTACCATTGAAAGGGAGACAGAAAGAAAAGTTCCAGTTTACTTTTGGGAATGCAATCAAGGGACCAGCTCAGCATATATTATTAAGTGTTGATGAAAATCTTGAACAGAATGGTTACAAGTATTTTGCTTGTAATATCTCATACCAAAACAGTTGTGAAATTTGTTGGAGCTAATAAAAACTGGGAATGGAGTTATAAAGATTAAAATCTTAATTTGAAGTTACACTGAAAATTAATATGTGCCACAATTCCGTTCAAAAGATAAAAGCCATATATTATTCTAAAGCCAAATTGGGTGAATAGTTGTGTGTAATATCCTTGCTTATTCACATTTTAAACTAAGTTCCCATTGACTTTCCTACTGTAAAATTATGTAATGAAGTTACTCTTCATAGAAATAATGATTGCTGGTGTGTGCTTTATTTAAAGATGGAAGATAGACATAATTCTTTATGTGTATATGCTGTTTGCCTCAATAGTTTCTCATTAGTTGCAAGTTTCAAAGAAAGCATTTAATTTGTACGTCACAATATTACATGGCCTTTCAAAACTCCTGTAATTTGCATATCATATCTACCCTTTAAAATTAATAGGTATAGTTATGGTATACTGTTGTATACTGTGTTGTATTTCAGTAATGTGTATTGCATATGTTTGCACAGTCGTGCACATTATCCGATTTTTTCTGTTCTTTTGAAATCACCATAAACTCTTATGTTTGAGGCAGGCAACATTTTACCCTGGGCTGCTTTCTAAAAATAATCCATTGGCTCTTTACTGACAATGAGGCTTTCTAGGAGGTAGCTGGTAAATATTTGTACTAGTCAGTCTCATTGCCATATGATATAAGCTGTGTATTCATAGAATCAAAAGTATTGGAAACTGCAGCACTTGCAATGGACTAGTTTTCAGATGTGCCACTTAATTTTGGTAATTTGTTTACTCTGAATTGATCTGAAAGAGACCATAGAACAGAGATATTTCAATTTATTTTCAAATTATGAAGTTCTGTTGTGAGTGTTGCAGCCTCTCAAGTAACCTTGAGCCTGTTGTCATGTTGTTCTGAGCAGTCAAAGCTCTGTAGGCTCAAGCTTAACTCTGTAGGCATTTGACCTGCTCATTGAATGTATAAATGGAAAGGCACATGTGGCCAAATGTAATGCTGCTCTCCTCTCGTCTGATCCGAGTGTGGGAGTACTGGGCCGCAGATGTGGCTAGTGCTACATGCATGGCTTGTGCTTGTCGATTTCCCTTGGGTCATGCATGATGTCAGTACCTGGTTGTGCTGCAGTACCTTTGTGTGTTTTCTGTTTAGTGAATTCAACTGTTACAACACTTATTCTTTTTATTTTCATTTTGTGTTTTGATACTGTTTTGGATCACCAAAAAAGCACTGATTGTATAATTTCTTTCTAGGTTCTGTGGGTCCCTATTCCCCCGCTAGTCACCGAATGCCCACTCCCAGTCCCGTGACGAGACAAGGTGAATACACAGTCTGTTGGACACCCCTTGAATAGGCTTACATGACTTGCCCTAACCGTACAACCTGACTCCTGTGTATATGTAAACCTCCCACTGGCCTTAAGCTGGTTTATCAAGACAGCATTTTAAATAAGATTTTTAGCACTCCACTATTAAATATTTTGATTGTTATAATAAATAATTCAGGTATTAATAGTTTGTAGTCAATTATAAATCCTCTCTTTCTTTTTTTTTTAAAGTGTGTGTGTTCTTTGTGACTGCTTTCCGTGGTGCGGGCTGCTTTATAGCATTTTAGTTTGGGGTCGTTGTTTGCGTCTGCCGCGTACATAAAGCTTAAGATGGTCACATTTATTTTTATATTTTCTTGAAAATTAATTTTTTTTCTGTTTGAATATTTTACAAAGAACATTTTAATTTATAAAATAGTTTTATCCCCTTTTTTATTTTGTTTTGAAACAATTAGTGGATGATAAGTGCTGCTCAATTGCCTAAAGTCTTCTGTTTTGTATTCATAATTTTGTGTTTGCCCTGAGTTTTCCTTGCTCACATGTGCTTTACCTGTTTTGTTGGCCCTGTGTTTAGTACATTGCCAGTGGTGCTACCATGAAATACAGTTAACATGTGTGTCTCGTGATGCTTCGTCCAACCTGTATGTGCCAAGTTATACTACTCCCATATTCTGGCATAAGAAATCATGGTTCTTAAGAACTTTTGAAATTTGCTTGTTTTCAATTTAAAAGAGCATTTATTTCTTATTGATGGACAATGTCATTGAGTTCTTGAAGCCAGACATTCATTAAAAAGTATACATCTTGGTCATGAAGATATCCCGAGTCAGCAGAAAAACAAATTTTTTTATTACTGATAAGTCACTTCTTTACAATTTATGAAAATTATTTTGATTATGGGTAGCATTTAGCATAGTAAATACTGCCTGTGAAATTTACTACTTGTTCTGAAAATAATTTTATTCGCAAATTGTGTTGAAGTGATTTGTCATTACAATTTATTTGAAAAAATCTTGGGGAGGTTATGGAACTTGGAACAACATGTGAATCTCCACTACTGGTGTTACTGTGTACATATATTGCTACTTTGCCTTGAAGTGCTATGATTAGATTTTAATCGAGTCTTCTAGTACTACTCTGCATTTGTCAGTAGCAACGGTAGTGCAGTTATTTTGACCTATGATGTTGCTGACTCTGGATTACCGGAATTTCCTTTAATGCATCATGCATAGAAATGGCACACTGCCCTTCCTTGTTTCCCAAGATGACCATCCATGCATCACAACCTACTGGTGTAGGATTAGGGCACTTCATGTAAGAATACACGTTCCAATTCAATAACAGTATTATAGAGTGGAGCTTCTTAAACTTATTCATTCATGGACCTTTTTCAGCAGTAAGGAATTTTTCTTATCTTATTGTTGTTTTTGCAATCTTAATTATTAAAATTTTGACCCAAGTCATATTTTCTGCAGATCTTATTCACATAAAGATTTTATTTGTAAAATTCTTTCAAAAAACATTTTATGAAGAACTTTTAATTTTCTGTTATACTGTTTGTATTAAAAATTCATTTCTCATTGCAGATAATGTCTCTATTGAATTGTCATTGCATAATTGTATAAACTATATAAATAAGATCTCACAGTATAATGTCAATCTTGCATACACATGCATGTAATGCGGTCATCTTTTTTAAGATATACATTGGTTCTTTCAGTGTATTTTTAAATCTTTTTTTATTTTTGCAACTTCTGAATTTCTTAATTTTTTCAGTGGGGGTTGCAACCCCCTTGTTTAAGAAGCCCCACTATAGAGTGTAAAATATAAGTGTTTGATTTAGCATCTAGAGTGGAAGATATCAGGGCCCTGATAGTATGCCAAAAATCTGAGAAATGAATAATAATAATTCCTTCAAATGAAGTTTTAAATTTATTGTATTATATTGTAATTTTGGGGATTAATTTAACAGAAAATCTGTAATGGGTAGGCATTCTTTTAGATTTGTGTTGATATCATTTGCTGAGAAGCACTAATCCCTTTTGCCTCAATTTAAAATTTAATTATTACGCTTCCTTGAAAACCATGTTATGAAGTAATAGTAGTTCTTAATCAAGGAAGTTGTAAGGCACTTCATGTATTGTACAGTATGAAAAAGCACTTGTGTGTTAATGCTTATTTTTTTGTCAGTCAGTATTAATGCTACTGATAGTTATTATTATTAATTTTATTATTGTTATCATTATTTTTTAAAAATAAATAGCAGTAAATATATTTCACATGAGAGCTCATATTGTATCATGTAATATATGGAATGCTAGTCTGTAGTGCATGTAACCTCTACATATTTTAATTGAAAGTGAGCACAACTAATACAAAAAATTGTAAATATTTGTACATAGTGTATTACTATCAGGGCTCCAGATATCCTTTGCTGGAGGTTAGATGTTTTATCTGTTAATATTATTATTTCAGGGTCTCTTTTAAGATTTAAGTGCATATTGTTTTGGTTTTGATTGTGTGTAAAAACAATGCCTAAAATTCTTTGTATTAATGATTTTTCTAAATTCCATATGCATGAATTCACTTAGAGTTGCAACAATTCCCTTTCTCTTATAAACTCAGAATACTTACAGTACAAAATAACATTAACACAGTAACAAATTGTGGACTAATATGAATAATACATCTTCCTCTAGTGTAGTCCCTATTTTCATTGTTTCAATTTCAAAATTTTGAAGTTTGCTCTTGTAGAGAGGCAACATCCTAAGTTTTATCCTTTTATTGTTTTGTTTGTATCTGACAAAATATGGTGTGTGTTTTCTGCATATTTCCATAGTTAACAAAATTTAGTGAAATATAAAAAGAACTATATGAAATAGAGGTGGTGTTATCTCAGAATTGACAGTCTTTTCTGAAATCTATGTCTTCAAGTTGTAGCCGTAACCATGGATGAATATTTTTGAAAAGAATTTTCATTAAAATGATATATCTTGACATGTGCTTTTAAAAGGATTGCATTGTCTGATAGCAATCTATTGAATAATGGCAGATGCAGTAACAGAAAGAAGAGATATTCTGAAATTAATGGAAAAATATTTTTGAGAAACTACTGCCATACATAAGGAAAATATTAATTTGCACCAGAAGCGATCCTTTCAATTATATAATCTTCCAATGAGTAGCATTTATGTCAAAGAATGTTTTTTCAGATAGTCATTCCTTGCATAAAAATTAACAAGAATTGCAAAATGAGTGTTAATCATGTGGGATGGTGTGTAATGATTAGAAAGAGTAATTGAAAAATTTAAACTTCAGTGTTAGGGTACAATACAAGAAGCACACATTGGATTTGATAAAGAGCAAATGATACATTGATTATTTTATTAGTATTTTCATTAATTTCATGTATCCGTTGTGGAAATAGTGTTACTTCCATTTTCAGATTTACTATCCTCTGATGCTTTTCAATCCAAAAACTTGAAGATTTACAAATTGCAGGTTTTGGCTTAATAGATATAACTTCATTGGCAATTTAGAACATGAAAATACTGAAAGCCTGTATGTTTTGTAACATATGCAAAAAAGAAAAGAGGGAAGGAATAAAAAAAAAAACAAAAAAACAACCACAACAACAAGAACAATTTCAATTCTTGACTGTAGGAAAATGTCTATCCTGTCCTTTTAATAAGCTGCTTTTTCATTTAATCTTGTGCATTTTTGGTTTAAACATTGAATTTACTCTTTCATAAAGTGAGCAGCAAGGGACAGGAAAAGTCATAATGAATTTTATTGATTGGAATCTAAAATGTAAGAGATTAACCATTCTATTTATGAAGTATAATTTTCATTAAAATTTATAGCCAAGACAGTACGTGTAAATTAGAGAGGAATACTTCATAGAATTGAACCATAATCATTGAAAATGTGTGCTCTTGACAAGTGTAATGAATGCAAGTAAATGCTCTAAATGGAAAAAAGAATATTGTAAAAGAAATTAATATTTTGTATTGGAATTTTTTATTATATTTTATTTTAAATGCATTTCATGTATCAATTTGAAGGTTAAATTTTGACCTAAGGAAACCAGAAATGCAAATAAAGAGATGCGAAAGAAAGGAGAACATCTATCATGAAATCAGAAACAAACATGAAGAAATTCAGTAAAAAAAGAAAAATATTTTTTATGAAAGGACTATGTTTATAGAAATTTCATGACTGTCAAGAGATGGATGGTCAGAAATAATTTGAAATGAGAAATGCAAGAAAACCACTTTTACATAATTCACAAGCATTCATGTAATCTTTTCCATTTAATAATTTATTAAAGAGGTCATTGCAATTGATTTTGTATGGGGATTGTATTAAATTGAAAGAAAAAAGGTAAGTTATTTGTTTAAAGATTTGCATTTTACGCCCATGTTGACTTGATGAAGCTTGAAGATTAATTGGGAACACAGATTTGAAGTTATCAGAGAAAGAGAAAAAGAAAAGAAAAATCCTTTTTTTAAAATATATATTTCTTGTTTTTTCCCCTGAATAATTTGTTTACTGCTTGTAAAACCAATGAAATGAATATTAGATATCTTAAATTTCTGTCTGATCTGAGTAAAAAATTGGCACACGTATTATTCATTGCATATTCTTCTTTTTGTCCTTAAAGAAAGTGGAATTGTTTACAAAAGAATTGTTCCATAATCTTAAATGGGACCTTGTGGACACTCAGTTTTTACTTCATATTTATGATTTGAAGGGCTAATGACTGTATTTAACATGTGCAAAAAATACTAAAAGGTGTATTTTTTAATAAAGAAATCAAACCACGTTTTGTTTTTAAATCTACATTTTGTGTAAAATCCTACATAAGGGCAAGGCAAGAGAATGCTAGGTTGCATTTGTTGTCTGCTGTCAACTTGCTTGTATTTGTTTCAGACTCCTCCAATTCTGGTGGTGAGAACATGTACACAATGATGAAGTCAGTGCCAGGTGGAAACATGCCTGGGGTAAGTGATTGTATGTAGATATAAGTAATTTATATTTGTATGAAGTTTTCTAGAAGTGAGGAGTCCATTGACTTTAGTACACATTAAAGTTCATATGTTCAAAATGTGTTCTAAACTTAAAAAGGTGCATCGTGATAATTACTGAAGGAACAGTAAGTTCTTCTAGATTGTGATATAGATATACCCAGATAGTGTTGGTTGTTTTGTACGTCATTTGAATGACAAATATAGAAATACTCTTAATATAAAACTATTAACTTAATTTATTTTTATGTTATGGAAACTATTTCTGCGAGGCTTTCACTAACACAAGTATAATATAGTCTTATTTTGAACATGTATAATGTAAATTGGAATTTTGCCACCTAAACAAATCTATTTTAAGTAATGAGTTTGGATTACCATGTTTACCCGAATATAAATAGTCTTTCAAGCGGTCTCCTGAGAATTTAAAATTTTTTTAACTAATTCTTATAACTTAGTGAAAGTAAAATTTCAAATTGTTTAATTGACTAGATTGTTTTGATAAGAATGATGAAACTTATTGCCTGTTCTACCATAATTTTCTTGTTCCATAAAATCATTATAATCATGTTTCTTGTCATTACCCTGCTTATCTTCACATAAATCATATTTCTTTCTTTATGGTCCACCTATACAGCAGTGTCCTTTGCCCTTTTAGGTTTATAAAGTTTTGTACTTTGAATTTTTGTTTTTCATTTGACACCACCCAAGATCATTCCCTTCTGTTTCATCGGATTTTCTTCCTGTCCCACTCTTGTTTGTGGCCTCTGATTCTTTAATATTTCTTTCACATTCGTCAACACTAGAACACCCTGCTTACCGATAGCCCCCTAGAATACCCGACGGAGTCGTTTCAACTCTGAAAGTTCAACGTTACTTATTTAAAGGCCGTATTGGAAAAAATATTTATGTACATCAGTACAATAGTATAGAAAACAACAATTTTTTGTAAAATAGAATTACTATGCCACAATTTTAATTTATTTTAAACAATTATTGCCATTATTGTCTGGCAAAATCGAAGTTAAAGAAACATGTTGAACAGAATCTTCAAGTAAACATGCAAAAGTTTATGTTGAAAAGTAAATTTTAGTGTCTTAAAAATATTGTTATAATACTAACAAAAATAATAATTACAATAATAGTATTAATAATAGTATAACATGTTATAAACATTTAATTTAAAATAATACTAGTTTCACATGTGGCCCCAAAATATATTTCCTTGCAACACCCTTTCCGTACCATCTCAGAATTTGTCAAATTTACTTGAAATTTTTTACATATATTGTTTCACACTGATTACTTGAAATGTGTTGAAGGACAGAGTTTTAAAAGACATTTAATGTCATGTTTCAAATGAAAGTTTCACTTGTTCAGGTTTTCATTGTATACTTTTTCTACATTTCTGATCTATTTGGCATAAACAGTATAAATATATATAGATATAGATCTAAAACTGTAATGACTTGAATAAACTACAGTTTTAGAGCACATTTTGTGGAATTGATACATTCAGTCAACACCTGCTTCGTATCCTTGTGCGTGGTTCTTTGCTACATTCTCCAGGTCTCTCCTCTTGTTGTCTTTCACAAAACTCCCACAATATTTCCAATGTTCGTAAAAACATTGTCACACAGAATTTTAGTGGCCATCTCTCAAAAGTCATATTTGTTTTCTGCTTTTCACTGGTTTTCATGCCATGAACTGTGTACTACATACATTCAGTTTGGAAGGTAAATGCCGGCATATCAACTCTATTCCTCTGACACATAATATCGATACAGTTTGTATAGGTATCACTTCATATTAAAGCAGAATAATTTTTCCGATGAAAGGAGTGAAATGTGCTGTTGATTTCTTTCCAAACCCCTCTTATTATTTCTAAAATCGTGAAACAAGACAGTGTCTAAATAAAACTAAGAATATCTGACAACGCATTACCGTCCGGAAAGTCCTCCTGAACACAAAAAATGTCTTCTATACTCAATCATGTCTCTTTATTCTACATTATTCGAAGAAATATTTTTTTCATTCAACTTTTGTGTGATAACAGTGCTATTCCTTCATTTGACAATAATCTTCTTTTCACAACTTTGTGATATATTTGGATTAATCTTGAAGTGAAAAGACAAACGAGCAAAGTGCAGTTCCTTGCATAAGTATAAGAAGTATGGTTTGAGAGAGGATTACCTAGTTTACAGAAATATTGCAAATAGGCTTACTTCTGATTTGCATAAATGGAGAAAAACATATGAAGAACAAGTGGCACAAACAGGCAGCAAGGAATTCTACTTGTATATCAGGAGACAAACAGCATGTAAAACTGGACCTCCAAACAATATACTGATTAAAGGAGTCATCTGTACTGACTCTGGTAAAATCGCAGAATGTTTCGCTGATTACTTTGAAGAAGTTTATTCAATTGAACCCTTGAACCAATTACCAGCGGTTGAGAAAAGATACACTGAAACTCTTGATTTTTTCTTCACCAATATTGAAACTGCTCAGATTTTACATGGTTTGAAAGCTAATGCTGCTCTGGGCCCTATTGAAATACCTCCAAACAATCTCTAGATATGCAAACCTTATGTACTATCTGGAAAAAGGCTTATGTCGCTCCAATTTTCTAAAAGGGAGATGAGCGAAATCCGAAGAACTACAGACTTATAAGTCTCATCAATGTAGTATGCAAGGTAATGGAATCCATAATTGCTGCGAGGATTCGAGACCACGCCCAACAGAATAACATAATCCCACAGGAACAGCACAGTTTTGTCCCAGGACAGTCCACAATCGCTAACTTACATCATTGGATGATTGGACAAAAGCCTTAGATCTAAACCAGCCTATGGACGTAATATATTTGGATTATACAGAAGCTTTTGATAAGGTACCACATAAACGTTTGTTACACAAACGGTATTCATTAGGGGTACAAGGGAAAATTCTTGCGTGAATGCGTGAATTTTTGGCAAGCAGAACCTACCAAGCCAGGATTGGACAACATTTTTCAACATCCAGAGTAGTCTCTAGTGAAGTACCTCAAGGTTCTGTCCTGAGACCTCTGCTATTTGTATTATACACCAGCGACCTGGTAAATGAGTCATCTTCATCTTGGAATTGCTATGCTGACGATATTTAACTCTTTGCCAATCCTTTGACATCTCGCACTGAGTTACAAAAAGATCTTAATGCCGTGGCAAACTGGTCTGAAACTTGGTTGCTTCCTCTTATTACAGACAAACGTCTGACTCTATACATTGAAAAAATAACCCAAAACTATCATACTCTATAAATGGACACACCTCGGCAGAGACCTACCAACAAAACGATTTAGGTGTGATCATAACACAAAATCTTAAATTAGAAAGTCAAATTAACAAAACAACTTAATAGAGCAAACACTGCTTTATATCTGATAAGGAAGGTCTTCTCGACCTTGCATTCCCCAGCATTGAAAAAAATTTTCTCTACATTCATAAGACCGATAATTGAATATGCCAGCGTAGTATGGTCTCCATATCTCAAAAAAGACAAACACCTAGAAAGAATACATAGGATAGCAACTAGGATTCCGAATACTGAGGATAGCAACTAGGATTCCGAATACAGAGGATAGCAAGTATAATTCCGATTTCTGTTAGAAATCTACAATATTACGAGAGATATGAGAAACTAACATTGCTGCCATTAGAAAAAAGAAGAGAAAGAATTGACATTATAGAAACATACAAAATATTGAACGAGGTGTACAATGTCTCATACTTGTACACACTGTTCAAACCAGCTACTGATCCCAGAGGACATTTGGCGAAGTTGATGAAGGAGAGAACAAAATCTGGGCTAAGATCGCATTTTATCACCAATCGGATTGTGAACCAATGGAATGCTCTCCCTGCGAATTGTGTTGAAAAGAGAACTAGAGTCTTTTAAATCGTGTTTAGATAATTACTATCAAACAAACTGAGTATATATAGTGTATGTATGTATGATAATCAGATTCATTTATTATAATTACATCAAACTGATATAAAAGAAATTGATTGTATATTTCCTCTTATTTTATAATAACATACGAATTACGTCGATATTTTGTAACAGATGTTTGTCAGTTTGTTGCTGCTTCCATCAATTCAATAAATAAATAAATAAATAAATATTTGCTACTGTCACCAAACAACTCGTGAATTTGCATGTATTGAACACAAGGGCTAGAAGAATAACAAAAAAGGAAAGAATGGTTGCATATTTCTTCAGAAGGTATCACAAATACTAGGAGAGACATATTATAGTAAACAAAAACTTAGAAATTTGATTGTTTTTCATGAAATATATTTTTTACAGGTTTCAATTTTTAACATGCTGTAAATATATGATAATGATAAGTCACAAAATTAGAAAATCTGATTATCAAACACAAAGAAGTTACAATGTTATAAAGATTGCCAGGATTCGAAATGACGCTTTTGGGCGTTCTAGTGTTTAAAGAATACATTAAAATTTTAGTTTTTTGAACATACTCAAAATTTGAATTTTCATAAGATAGAGTTGTAAACTGCAAACTCGTACATCTCTGTTCTTGCGTTTCACTGATAATGTGGGAGATACTTCCAAATTTGTGAAGTTTTGATTAAGAAAATGTTTTATTTTATCAACCTTTTCTGTGGTTGAGTGTAGAATGTGTACTTCTATCAATGTGAAAATTTTTCACTTCCATCTCTTGCAAAATCCAGATCACATTTGTTGGGGATTGAACCAATAGTCCAAGCAGCCTCGTCTACCAAAATTTTAGCAGTGTTTTTTATTCGTTATCATGTCGTGTTTCAATTAATGCAGTGGCATTCGTTTAAAATTCTGTCTCTACTGGCCCATTCAAAAATATTGGTCTGAATAGTCTTGCAAATTTGCTGTGGATGTGAGGTAGTCGCGAGAATATGTCCGCTATGGTGTTTTTATAGTAGTAGAGTAATAACTAAGGAGCTGATTTTAAAAAAAAGTCATTTTTTTTCTTTTCACTTCAGCCCAATGCCGTTCAGTATAGAAATTCATTTTATGTTATGATGAAAGGAAACAAACTATTTTTATTGGTCATTTTTTGCATTTATCATAGATTTTTGACTAATAAGTCATTTTTTAAATTTTAAGTTACTTTTAATGGATTTTTTGCTGATTTTATAGATTTTAATACCATTGTAATAGTACTTGTTTCAAATAATATTTACGAGGTTCCACAAATGTTCACCACCGAATTCCTGAGTAGCCTATTTGATTTCTTCGCTCTCATATATGATAATGTCAGCCATTATGAGTACTAAGTAATCTAAGGTTCCTGTGACATCTGTCAGTCATTGTCAGTTCAGCCAATTTTGTGATAAATAAAGATAAGGTAGTAACTAACTTTTCTTTTAAAGAACTGTTCAAACCAAAAGTGTGCAAGGTGAGTTCACAACAAAATGAAGAAGCCTTTTGACGTCATTTCTCTTCGCTTTTAGGGCATTTTCAGAGCACTTTATTGATCATTTTTGGCAGTGTTTTAGATAATCAAAATCCGCCTCCTAGTAATAACATATTTCAGATACACATGGTAGTTTTATCGTCTTTGCTACTTTTTGTTACATCAACATTTGCTAGTTTCATGGCATAGAAAGGTGATGTAAAAACATAATTCTTAACCAATTAGGTTTAATTTGCGAATATAAGATGACCCTGCAATTTTTCAATTGAGATTTTTTTGGTGGTAAAACACGTCTTATATCCTGGTAAATATGGTAATCAAGCTCGTTTTTTAATATTAATTATGGCATGTGTGCCAAGACATGTTTAAAGATCTAATCCTCTGAGAGCAAAACAATATGAAATACTTTTTACTTGGTATTTCAAGAATATAGGCACAATATCTGGCATAACTTAATGTTAGGAAATACAGCAAATTTAGGATGAAAAGTATCATAAGCAGCTCGTTATCGCCATGCTTAGTAATATGACCCCAAACATTTCATTTCTTACCACATTTATATATTAATTTCATTACTAAAATGAATTACTTGTATAATGTATGTTAAATTTATTTTGATTTTAGAATACAATTTATTTTAATTAATGTACATTGCAATGACAATTTCAATTTTTTGAATTTTGCTAAATATGTGAAGTAATATAATGAATAATTTTATTTATTTAAGAGTTTAAGTATTTCATTTGGTCAGAATGAAAACTTTTTGGTTTGATTGTTACTTAGAGGAATATTGTTCAGTTTCCGAGGTAATTGAGAAACATTACTATTTAAAGCCATTGTAGATTTTTAAAAATCTTAAAATTTTCTACCCAAACTTTCTTAGTGTGAGAAAAATTTTACATTTTTGTAGTACATTGTGTGTATAGCTCCCACACACACACACACACAATATAATTTTTTTGTTTAGGAGTTATTATAAATAATAGGCAAGTTTTAATATTGTGAGTTGGTTGCTTGCTACAGGACTTCCCTATGGCTGGGGGACCTGAAGGTGGACCCATGGGCCCCATGGGACCGAGCACCATGGGACCTGTAATGAACGGAGACGGACTGGATGGAATGAAGAACTCCCCTGCCAACGGCGGGCCTGGCACCCCACGGGAAGACAGCGGGAGTGGGATGGGCGACTACAACTTGGGGGGCTTTGGGGGACCTGGGGAAAATGTGAGTATGAGCGCCGGTGGCTACTTCTCCGAGACATAGCGTGAGATTCGAGCATCGTGAGACTCGCTGCCCAGGCTTAACCGGGCCTTACGAAAGGATCCGTCCTCTGCAAGACTAGCTCGTGGGCTTGTCATGCTTACGGCTTACTTCTTGCGCCTTGTGGCTTGCGGCTTGCCTCAACAATACTTAACAGATCTTTGAGAACATATTTTTAATTGAGATTTAGCACATTTCTCTGGATGTGGGCTGGGTACTTAAATGTATGCACCGACTGTAAAAACAAGTACTTACCTTTTAGTTTAGATGTTAATGGTGCACCTTGAAGTGTTTGGTGCCAGCATTCTCGTGATATTTCTGTCATGACAATTATTAAATATATTTAAGATAGTGTCGAAGTGTGAAGATTCAAAAATAGAAATGATTTAGATTTAGGTAAAATTATTTTTTGCATGTAAAATTGAGAAGATTGATTGTCAGTCTTCTTGAAGTTTCCAATGCAAAACGATCCGATTCTATGCCATTAATTCGGATCTTTGCTGCTTGGTCTTTGCAGCTCAATTAAAATGCTCAGAAAAAGAACTGATGGTTATTTAGCTCAATAATTGTGTAAGCAGGGGAGTAGGGAGGATGCTTTGCTTTGGTGCACTCCACTTGCGAGGGGTGCGTTTTCATTGGGGCGGCCTTGTGTTCCGCTGTCAATCAGGATGGCCTGGTGTCGCAAGGCGGAATGCACCAGTTGGAATTGTAGATGTGAGGAAATCTTGTAAACTGTTGGAAAGTATTAAAGTTTGTTTGAATGCTCAGAATGCCTCGTGTTAATACGCTTGCCCCTCCCTACTGCCTTCGTCACGTGATTAACATGTCCGCCCGCCAAACTCACACGACGCCGTGATGACGGAAGGGTGTGTTGCATGAACCAAATTTTTCAAATTTTAAAAGAAAGAAAAAAAATTATGGGTTTTCACTCTTTCTGGGAGTGAAACCAGGTTACAATGGGGGGATCACTTTCATTTTCAATGTCATAAAAATCTGTTGGAAGTTTGGACTGTGCAGTGAACACTTTCTTCCTTCCAGGACCAAACTGAATCAGCCGCCATTCTGAAAATTAAGGAAAGCATGCAGGAAGAAGCCAAGAGGTTCGAAAAAGACTCCGACCATCCGGATTATTTCATGCAATAACACCCCGTCCCAGGCCCATCTCCTTCACCCTCCAGGTTCCTCCCTGTCCAAAGTCCTCCACCAAGCCCCTCCCCATGCCCCCTTCCTCTGCTCAGGCAGTCCCCCCCCTCCCCTGTCGCGGGACCTGGTATCAAAAAGAGAATCAGATTGTAAAATCAGATTGCTGTCAGTGAGTGAGTGGCCAGGCGCATCTGTGGTACTCTGTGGGGGACGTTGGAGTCACCACAGATCACAGAAAAATTTATAGGAAATTCATTTGATGCTTCTTGGTCATATCGCCAATTTTGAACAATTTTACTTGCATTCACTGAACATTTCCGGTTTACACCTGGTCAGGTTGGAATACACTTGTACATGTTCCTATATTGTGTGTGAGGAGACTAGCAATCTGATTCCTTGAGATGTTTGCAAAGTGTGAGTGACAAATGCAAGGTGAAGTGTTGCAGTGACTGACTAGCAGTGCTATCTATCTCACTCAGTTCAGATGCGTGTGGTGTGCTGAGCTGTGCTAGGTGGACGTGCAAACAGTACTCATTACTGTTATCCAGTACATGAAGCAACAAAGGAGCTTACTTGTCTGTATAAAATTCAGAGTAGCAGTAGCTCCAATTTTCCCCTTCCTCCTGTCTCCCCGTTGTCCCCACCTCTCACAATTTGAAGTAGCTCCCAAGACTTGAACCCAACTTTCTCTCACATGGGGTTCAGTAAATTTGCATCAGATTTTATATAATTTATATTAAAAGTGAAATGTTCTATTTAAAAACTGATATTTCTGTCAGATGAGAACTGTGTCATTCTCTTGAAGTTTTAGGCTTATTTAAACATCCATGTTCTGAAACTGTTGTGTACATTTTGTGCCACTTGTCTGTGTCTCTTTTGGTGTAATATTGCCCTGTCCATCTTTTGTCCCCCTGCTGCCTGATACATTATCTTAGTTTAGGAAATATTTCTAGCTTTCTCTTTCCAAGTTAAATGGAGGGGGAAGTTCCCAATTTTCAGATGAAACAGTCTTCTAATGGCTGTGACATTTCTGAATAGATTTTCTGCTTGCTGCCACAAGGGGGGGTTGAACTGTTAAATGTCATTTTGCCTAAGCATTTTGCCAGTTGGCAAGGTCTTGCTGCCAGTTTAATTTATTTAATGCAAAGGTGCACTGCAAGTAGTACCATTATATTTATGTGATGTTTAAATTATTTTTGATACTTATGGGTGAATGAAAGCATTTTTTCCGTGATTTAAACATTATACAACTCTTTTGTCCTAAAAGGAATTTCTTATGTTCAAACAAATCAGTATTAAGTTCATGGATTATGGGTGTAGAAGGGTTCATTCAAAGCATTGTTCCCCCTGTTCATTGAATCTCGTTACTTGAAAATGAGAGGAGAGTTTTTATTGTTAGTGCAACGAGACTTTGTGCACTACTTCTATTATTTTGTGTTCATATTCATCTTAAATGAAGGGAAAATCAATGGGGAGTTTCCCACCCAGGTTACCGCAAGAATTCCCTCAGACAAGGGAGGATGAGAATGCTACCGCCGTGGATATTGTTTAATTCAATCAGGAGAACAACTCTCTGACCTTTTCTTCAATAGTATAAATATATGCAAAAAATATATATATATATATATTATAGTTGAACTTGTTTTCCAGTGAGTAGATAATTCTGTCTTGCCACCTCAACCATTGCGTAGCATTTACCATGATCAGCCAGCATGGTTGTGCGAATGTACATAACCTTTGGATGTAAATTGTTTTCCAGACTTATGTGTTTGGAATAGGTCAGGTTTGTCCGCTCTTGGAGCCTGATCTTGTAAATATCTTTTATTTCTGTGTAGAAGGAGGCGAAGCAGCCCCGAGTTCAGCCCTTCTCCTTCAATTTAAAAAACCTGGGGTTGCTTTGCTTTATTTGAGAGGGAATTTGTGTTCTGTACAGTCTCAGAGCAGACGATTTGGTCTCGTAGGAATAGTTTGTTGGAGCTCCAATGTTTTGGTCTTGCCATATCAATTCAACATTTAAAAAAAGAAACATTTTCACATTGTGTGCCCTGTACGCTCGACCGTGATCTGCATACAGCTTCGTCTGTCCCACAGCCCATTTTTTCTGCACTGGGAGCCACGATCATGAAGGAAGTCTTTGCTCAATATTTCTTTCATTCTGTCTTTAATTTTTTCTTGGTGTATTTGAGAGAATGTCAACAGCCTGAAGTACTAACATGTGTTTCCATGACAGTGTAATATCAGTGTAATTTTATTATATAACTGTTCAAAGAAAACTATCCCCACTAAAGTATAAACATTAAATAAAAGGGAATGAATGTTTTAAAATTCCATATCTACTTGTATAATGTACCTCAGGCTGTTGATGTTCCATGTATGTTCTGTTTAGTTTAAATCTTCACAGGAAACTTCCTTATCTTTTCTTTTGTTTATTGTTGATGTTGTTGTTGTTGTTGTTAACTTTTCTTAGCGTGTGGTAGATTTGTAAATCCAAAGGATCACTCAGCAAATCAACTGCAGAGTTGAAAATTCATAACTACTGTCATCCCCATGTAATTAAAAGAAAATTCATCACATCTGCCTAAATATCATTGAGTTCCATTTAATTATTTTTGTACATTGCAAAGGAATTCCTTTAGCTCTAAACCTGTGGTCACATTTGCATTTTTATTTGCTCTTCTTGGTGCTTGCAATGCTGCACTCTCCTTCGCTGCAGAAGGCTGTGAGGTAGCCAGCAGCCGTGATCTCCTATCATTGTGACTGATAAGGCATCATTTCACTGATCCATCATAGAAAAACCAAAAATCATTTGATAAGACAATGACTTTTTCCTCTACAATTATTGTAACACTTTTGTCAAACATGGACGGCATTTCTTTACTTAATTTTTCCTATGTCAAGTCTCCATAAAGAATGAAAACCATTTGGCATCTCTTCCTATTTTGTTGGTGGAGTAGACCTAGACTAACAATTGTGTAAGTACCGTAGTCACATAGAAGAGTATTATTATAATTATGTGTAGCAATTTTGAGTAAAAACAAGGCTGGAGCAAAATGACTGTTTATTTTCCTTCTACTCTTGCTCACTGTAGTGTTCATGACACATATAGGAACATTTTCAGTCCTGCCTTCCTTTTCCTTTTCTCCCAATCCTGGTCTCATCAGTCCTTGAAAACGCTGTTCAGTAAATATACCCCAAAAGATGTGCAAATTTTACACAATAAATCTATTCACTTTGCTGGGATCACAGTGCTATAAAGTCCAAACAAGTCAAAATGTAGAAGACAGCACTTGCAAGCTTTTATTTAAAGTTATTATTTTGCTCATGTATTACAGGTATACAGTTGCTAAACATACAAACATTTATTATAAAAATTGTGTCAGTTTTATTACACAATACCCTTAATTTTTTAATTTTTCTTTATGGCATATAGATGATTCATGGTATGTAGATTAAATCTGTGCTTGCCAAATATTGCTGTATCAGTCAAAGGACACACTACGATTTTCTTTATTTGACATTTAAGAACACAGCTACAATATCATTCATGTTATTTATATACTTTGGGTATGAAAAATTAATCAGTATAATACATAGTGTCTGTTGTGTATTGTGGATTTGTGGGATTAGATATGTAGATATTTTTGAATGGTGCATGCTTTTCTGGAATAATTTCACTATTTTAGTTAGATGTAGAGTGATAGAAAATTTCATCTTTGGGGTACTTCTTAGAAGATGTTAGTTAATTGAGCATTTTAAAAACACACATGCGCACACACACACATAAGATTCTGTAATTGTTTCTTGACCCGTTGAAATTGTATTTGTTAGATTCTTGAGTTTGGGTCATGAATTAAATCAATAATTTACAACTGAAACTCAAGAATCTTACCCCCCCTTATTTTTTTATTTTGAAGGATTATTTTCTATTTTAATTTTTTTCATTGACATGGCTTAAAGGAGCATATATTTTTTTTTGTAATCTTTCAAACACTTTTATGCTTGGGATGAATAATTATCCGACACTATTTATTTATTTTACACATCATTTTCCATTATATGGATGGCAAAGCTCAGTACTCCTACGTATTTGTTCAGAAATACTGAGTCATAACAAAGACATCACAAATGTGAGCTTTACTAATACTCAGAACATCTGTGGCAGTAACTGAAGCAGAAGTTGTGGCAGTTGAAGCAGATATCACCGCATATGTGATCCCATCTCCATATTCGTTAATTGCTGACAATAAAAGGTTTGTATCATACAGGAACAGAGTTCATGAGACAAATAATGTAGTCATCATTGCATTGAACTAATGAATGTGAAGAAATGCAACATTTTTCACTTTTGAGTTTGCAATACAATTTTTTGTATTAAATACAAACAGTTGACTCTGGATCTGTTAAGGGAAAAGTTAAAAATGTTCTATCAAACTAATGGATGTGTAACTTCCCACACAATTCTAATTATAAAGTAGACAGTTGTTCACTATGAGACTTTACATTTGTTAGTTCAACATGGTGACTTTGGGGCAAAAATTGCTAGCTAGAAAACTACACTTAATTCTTTGCATACATTTTAACATTAATTTACTGGGAACACATTAAGGGCTGTGCCTTGTTTCATTGACACATAGATGCACAATCAAATATTAAAAGAACAGAGTTTGATCCAAAACAATCAAATAGAACCAGAAGAGGGGAAAAAAAATAGTCAATAATTATACAAGTTGCAACCTAGTATTTTTATTTTTCTTGTGATTTTTCATTTTGAATTTATTGAAGTTATTGCCATTTTTTAAGTGTTGATTAGAATTATTTAATGATATTGATATACCTTGACAGTTAAGACATTAATATACTTTCATTATTCAGTAGGCTACACTACAAAATAGTATAACTGTCCTTTTGATACTTTTTATCACCTTCAAAATTCAATTGTATGAAGAGATATGATAAATGGTGAATAGTTGCAATTTTTTGTATTATATAATACACCTCTTGAAACAACACAAATTATATTACTTATATCCATTAATTTTCTCTTCTGTAGTACAAATACAAAATAACTCATTGCCTTATGAAAAACCTAGGTGAGTATGTCCCACTTATAAAACCATTATACTCTTCTGAAGAAATTTCACAAGTTTCTTATGCAAGTACTAATTGATACAAGATCATTCAATTTTCTAGTGATAAAAAAGTTGCATGATTAAAAATTAGAGTTAAAAAATTAAATTTCTAATTTAAACTTAAATGCAATTCGTGATTTGAATTGGTATTGAGGTAGGTATTATAGACAGTTCTGATAGTTGAACAGGTAAAGTATCGGCATTAGATGCAATTTTTTAACTAAAGTTATATGTCAAATATGCTAGTGTCATGTTACATTGGTTTAACATCTTTATTTATTTGTCGAATATTAAATGCAAATAAACAATGGAGCACACCTGAAAGGTATCAGAATACTTGTAACACTTGCTGATTGGATTTTGAACATGATTATTAGAATGTTCTACCTGCAGTGTCTTCATTAAAGACTTCAGAAAATATGAGATTTGGTACTGGTAAAATAGCAAAACACTTTTTTGTGTGAACTCATAAAGTAAACTACCTAACTACTGGCTCTGTTTGAAGAATTAAGAAAGTCTCAAAAATTCATGGCATCTAGAGATTCTATGCTGTACTTTAAAAAAAAGTAACAATTTCCTTCCTTTTCTGAGTTTTCATCAGTGACTATTTAAAATCATAATGCTAGTTTTCTTTCTCTCTCTTTTTATTTAATTTTTATTTACTTTTTTGACAAAGGAAAACTGTTGACACTGTGCATCTAACATTATCAATAAGAAATAATTACTATGGAATACTAGCAAGGAAAGCGTCTTGAAGCTAGAAATTGTCACTGCCAAGTTCCACTTTGTTTTTCATCTTCATTTCACTTTATTTGTTCTTTTTAGATAGGAGAGAGATTAATGAGGATTAAAAATACTGAGCTGAGGTGAAATTGTTCTGCAATGAACCAGAGGGGCCAAATTTCTCTGTATTTCACTCTGAAATCTGTCAATTACTGGATCTTTGAATGTGGAATGAATATATATGGTTCACCACTCTTCTAAAAATTGTGAAGTTCAACTATTTCTTGAGAGTACATTTCCTGTTTCGCAATAGTACATTTATAAAGATAATTTAGCTATCATATGTAAAGTTTTCTTATACAGCTTTTTCATTTACTGTTTCAGTAAAATTGTTAATTTTATTCTTACTAGAAGTTTGTTTGTTATTTATTTTATTTAAAGGCACTGGAAAGAGTTAAAAATACACAATGAACCTGAACACTGTTGTTGATAAATTAACCTTCTTAAATTCTCATCATTTAAATGACAAATAAATATGGACAGTACCATTATTCATATCCAAAAAATGATTGGGCATTCGTTTTTGTACTTAAAAAAAAAAATATTTTTTTTGCTTTATTTGCAATTAGTTCTACAATTTGAACTTTTGATGAATTTCAATTATATACAAAAACAATTTAAAATTACAACAGTGATGTTGCCTAGTGGCAACCCAACTGAATCTAGATGTGACATCAAGTGGTGAGAATCTTGCTAGTTGTCTGATTTCTTGACTGTTTTCCACTGGGTTGAGTGCTAAGTAGTTGAGGTGGTCCTCAAGCCTGTGCTAGTATCAAGGGGCATTTGCACCTAATTAATACGGGTTATAATGTACATGCAGTAAAAACCGAAATATGTGCATGTATGTATTTGGTAATATATGCAATAAAAAAACTGAAATATGGGAAAACTGGTTATGTGGAAAGGTGTTTTGCAAAATATAAGATAGATATATAAATGTTAACATAAGCAAAGCATATGTCAAGACCGCAATTTTCACCAAAACCTTATTCACTTCCTAGAAAATTGTTGGGGAATTACGTCGTTGCAGCGGCCTAAGGCATTTTGAAATTTTTTATTTTCTGAGACTTTTTACTTTGATGAGTGATTTCTGACGAGAAAACGCCTAAGGTCATTCGTGCCGGAAGTGCAGTGTGTGTTTTTTGTCGGGGGATGTTCTTTCCCCGATTGATACTGTAGTTAGATCCGGCGTCGACTTGCATGTAGGCTTGCAGGATTGTCCCATCCAATATCTCCTATCAGCGGGGCACCGCCCCAGCTGGGTCAAGCCCAATACTCCCGAATGGTCTCCCGGCGTGGGGTAGTGTAGTGCGTGTAAGGGGTGAGGATAAGACAAGGAAGAGGAAGGAAAGAATGCGGCCCGTGGACCGTTTGTTAGGGTACTGCTTCGGCATTTACCTCGTATTGATCGGAAAACTACCGATCGGAGCACCCGGTCGCCAGAATTCTCCAGTCAGCGACTGAATTTGACCTAGCAATCTAGCTAGTGTCGAAATTCCAGCCACCGTGGGAACTTGAACCTTGGACCTGCGGTGACATCAGTTGATGCCGAGCCTCCTCTCTCGGTCAAACGCTTTACAGTAAACCGACTACAGAACTAGGGTAAGAATAGAGGAATGGTTAAGACGTAATGAACTCCACAGTTCGAGGAATTGGGGGCGGACGCAGAGACGCGGAATGAGCCCTGAGAATGTTTTAAAGGGAAATAAACTAAGTAATCCAGTAAAAGTTGCAAATCTCTTCAACCAACATTTTTCTAAAATTGCGACTGATCTCACGAAGGGACTGAAACCACAACATTCAACATCTCACGCTTCCCCAAAAATGTTCGTCACATGTTTATTTCCGAAACTTCTTTCAGTTAAATTCTCATAATAGTTAGTAAACTAAATATGGCTGGTCTGGACGAATTTCTAGAATGTTTTTTAAAAATTTGTGCGCCTGCCTTTATAACACAATTCACATTTTCAATGCTTTTTACACAGGAATATTTCCAGATATTTTCAAGACAGCCAATATAAAGCCACAAAAGTGAAATTAAAGATTACGACCAATTTATTTTCTGTCAGTTTTCTCGGAAATATTAGAGGCTTTTATATATGCGAATGGAAAATTTTCTCAGGAAAAACCAAAAGCGTTTACAGATTCGCAAAAAAATTTTGAAAATCAAAATGTTCGGAAACTTTTTTTTAATTTTCTTAAAGATGTTGCTTCATTAATGAACCAAAATAAAGCACCAACTGGAATGTTTTTATATCTTTCGAAAGCTTTTAGCATTATTGACCATAACAACGTGCTCTCAAAATTACATTCATTTAGAATTCGTGGTATGGCTTCAGATTGGACAACCTCGTACCAGAACATCAATTTCATAGAGAAGAAATACCGTACTGACACGGAAGAACATTATTTACTTATCTTTCCAATTCTTTG